GGGAGAAGCAGCAGAGCTGCTTTCCCTCACCTCTGCTGGAGGCATTGTGCCCCTCTTGAACTGCAAATGCTCCACATGCTAAGAGAACTCATTTCTCAGGTGAATGAGCTAGCTGGTCTGCTCGATGAGGCTGCCCTCAATGCACACGTCACACATGGTTGCTAACACATAGACCTGATGGGTGAGAGGTTCCAAATGGGAATTGATTCTCTCTTGCAGCCTCTGCACCATTTCAGTCACTGCTGGAACAATATCTGCACATCCTGTGCTTGGGTCCAGTGAGGCGACCATCTTCTCCTGAAAGGGTTGGATCAAGGGACTGATGAGACCCAGGCTTGCCGTGTCAGATAAGAGTGCTTTGGTTAACTCTGTAAAGTGCTTAAGGATCTCCACTGTCTACGAAAGAATCAGCCACCCCTTGCTGCTGAACACTGTCTCTCTTTGCACAGTGTCAACTGCCAAGGTGAAATTGGTCAGGGCTTTTCTGGTCCACCAGATGCTCAAGCGTGGCACAGGTGGAGTTCCAGCTGACATCACTGATCGGATAGTGCTCTAGAACGCCTGTTGGTGCTTGCTTCTGTCACAGCAGGTGGTAGCCTTCACATTGCACATGAAGTACCTTGTGAGATTCCAGCAGTTCTGGAGCAGAACCTGGAAATCATGAGTCGCAGCCTCTGATTCAGTATTCTTGGGTTGGCTGTCTTGGTGGCTGTTACAGTGGCAGAAAGGTAGGGTATAAATTTTGTAAAATAAGCAGATAAATCGTTCACCACCAAGTGAGGGAAGTGGGCCATACAGTAGAATAAGCCTGGGCCAGTGCCCTAATATTTGCACCACGATTAGTCACCATGGAGGCAGAAGGGTTATGTAAAGCTGCTATGGGGTAGGCTTCCTCACAGGTCGGGGAAAGCTGCAGTCCTTCCTCTCCCCCTACTATTCTTCTGCTTAGCCTTTCCCCCAGGACCCCACTGCACTCTCCTCCTATCTCTCATTCTTTGCCCCTGGACTATTTCACCAAAGTAAGCGAGCTGCTATGCTGCATTCTGAGACCGATTTCACACAAGAGCTGCACTGTGGTCGTGCCTCCCTTTGCCCCGCTTCTATTGGTCAATTTCCCACTCGAAGCCGCGCGGCTGTGTTTTGACCCACGGCTTCGCCCGATTTTTCCAGCGGTTTTGTGATCCTCAAAAAACAGGATCACGAAACTGCAGGGAAAATTGGGCGAAGCCGTGGGTCAAAACGCGGCCGCAAGTGGGAAAGTGACCAATAGAAGCGGGGCAAAGGGAGGCGTGACCGTGGCGCAGCTCTTGTGTGAAATTGGTCTGAGTGAACACTGAGTTGCTCTTGAACCTGACTCACTAATCTGCTACCTTTGACTTTTTGCTTCTCAGCAATAATCTACAGTTTTTCAGCCCCCCCCACATACAACCTGTCCTTTTTTTGGGGGGGGGGATTAAAACTACACCTTAGGCATGCTTCAATTTAATTATTTGTTTTTAAATGATTTGGACTTTTCAGCCTAAAAGCCGGCAATTTTTTTTTTTTGGTAACTACAACCTGGGGTAGAAGTATGAAATTCTTTTTTAAAGCCACATTATTTTATCTTTTTCCTAGCCTACAAGCAAAGCCTAATATTTTTTCTTGTCTTTATGAAAACCTGACTTCAGTTTTTGGAAGACATGCTCTTTTTCAACCACCTGGCCTCAGTTGTTTTGAAGCCCAGGTGAGGTCAACCAAATAATTTTTTTTTAGTCACCCTATGCGCCAATTGAAAAACAACAACACCTTGCTTCTTATTATTTTGGATGCCTAACAGAAGCCTAAATTTTGGTTGAGGAACACTTATGGAATCCTAAGCTGAAGTTTATTTTGTTTTGTTTTTAAATACTTAACTCTCATCTGTTATACTGTTGTTAAAACCTAACCAGAAGCTTCCTTCAGAACAATTAAGTTTTTCAAAATGAACTGGGACACCTCAAAACTCCACTAAACCACTCCCCAAAAAACATGATACTGAAAGATCTTTAAAACAACGATAGAAGAAACCAGAACAATGCCAAAGGATAAATTTTGTAAAACAGTGGCAACCTGGACCCCCACCCGCCAAGCATAAGGCCTTTAAAATTAAGTGTAGAGCAGGCAAATTTCATTTTTAATTATTTAAGTAATGATTTAATTAATTACATAAATATATGCAAAATACAAATCTTTGTTTGAGTAATACATAAGATTGATTAAGTGCGACACATGAATATAACAGTTATTGTTCCAGAACATTATGAACATAGACCAATGTTCCATAAATTTATTTGAAATATCAGAATATCACTTAATGTTTTTAGTGATAAGTTAATTTAATAAGCAACACATTTCCACAAACATAATTCCCTTGGAGGGTTTGGCTTTTTCCATCTAGCAGCAAGTTTTATTGTAGTGACTACAAGGATCAAGACAGATGCCAAATCTGACAAAACAAAATATTCTTTAATATAATCCAATAATAAAAACTTTGGATCACAAAGTAAACTGATATTTAACATACCTTTAATAGTGGATTACAAAACCCAGAAATTTGGTATTTCTGCACAACTCAAAAAGATAAAAACAAAATTGGCAACAAATGATCCAAATCTCCAATAACAATCTTGTACAATCCTGTACATAATAGCCAACCTCTGTAGAGTAAGATGCCACTGAAACAAGCAATTTAAAAAATTCTCCCTCCGTCTTGTGGACATAAGTTTAGGCAAAGCATTATTCAGTAACTAGTTACACTCCTCTAGTCTGATATTCCATTTATTATGGTAACTAAAAGATACACCTATATTTTCCAGCAGAAGGGCATGGATATTTGCAAGAGATCCTCTAAATATATTATCTGTGCTGATTATCACCTTGAACAAGGTTTTAGATCTTAAACCCCTATATTTTCCTACTAGAGTATTAAGCATGTGTCTAATTTGGGGGAAAATTGAAATAAAGGGGATCTCTTGTTCAATATAAAGGAAATTTATTCATAGCTCAGAACCTGCTCATTGCTAATTGGATTTTCTATAGTGTCTAAATCTTTATCTCTCCATAGCTTATAATTACTTTGAACTTGGATTTGATGTGATTGCTCATTGCAGAAAACTGAGGTCAACTGAGAAAGTAAAGGTTTCACCTTATACCATTAAAATTTTTTTAACTGATTTAACTTGGAAAATGAAGCAAGTAGCACTCCAGACAAAGTCTCCACATCAGAATTGGGAGCTGCTGCTCCCAAACTTTTAAAAGTCAGATGAGACTTCGATAAAGAAAAATTTAAGGGGAAAAAGAGAAAATAATCATAATGATTTAAACTTAAAAGTTTAATAAACACTTGGTTGATTCAGATATATTACTGGCAGTTGAATAGATAAACTGTAAAGAAAGATTCTTTTCCTCCCTCATATATGACATTATAAGAGAACCTTGCTCAAATGAGAAATTATTAATGTTTATAACTCCTGTGAGTAGTAATTGTAGTTCTATGTAGTGTAAAAAAACAAAAAAATCTTCAAAAAAAAAAGCACTGATAGGATTATCCAAATTTAAATTTCTTTGCTGAAACCAGATAAGATCTTTCAAACAACTATTATCTGGTAGACATGATTTTAAAATGAATGTTTCCTTACCAATGAAAATCCATTCCTTGAGATCAGCTAATATAATAGCTCTCTAATATAGTTTTAAATTTGGTACACCAAGAACTCCCTTACTAATTGGTTGGCAATGGCATAAGCACTTTAGAACTTTAGATCCCTTCCAGTCCGACTTTCGCCCAGGTCATGGGACGGAAACGGCACTGGCCCTCACAGATGATCTCCGGAGGCATCTGGATTGGGCGGATAGGCAGTGTTGTTGCTGTTGGACCTGTCGGCTGCGTTTGACACGGTCGACCATCAGCTACTGATCCACCGCCTCGCCGACACTGGAATCCAGGGTCTTGCCTTGCAATGGTTTGCTTCCTTTCTCCAAGGTCGGGGACAAAGGATGGCGCTTGGGGAACAGCTCTCCCGAAGGCACCCACTGGATTGTGGAGTGCCACAAGGGGTGGTGCTGTCCCTGATGTTATTTAACATCTACATGTGCCCCCTTGCCCAGATTGCACGGAGACATGGGCTGGGATGTCACCAGTACACAGTTGACACCCAGCTCTATCTGTTGTTGGGCGGTCAGTCTGCCTCCAAACTGGAAGATCTAGACCGGGTGTTACAGGACGTGGGTGGATGGCTTAGGCTGAGCTGACTGAAACTGAATCCAGTGAAGACGGAGGTCCTATGTCTGAGTCGGGGTGGACCAGGGGTAGGTATCCCACTCCCGACCTTCGATGGGGCTCCATTGGTGCCAGCACCAGAGGTTGGGAGTGCTCTTGGATGCCTCCTTAACAATAGAGGTCCAGGTAGCAGCCACTGCCAAGTCAGCCTTTTACCATCTTTGGCTGATTAGGCAGCTGATTCCCTTCCTTGAACACAACAACTTGGCAACAGTGATCCATGCAATGGTCACCTCAAGACTGGACTACTGTAATGCTCTCTACATGGGGCTGCCCTTATTGCAAATCTGGAAGCTACAACTGGTGCTAAATGCTGCAGCCAGGCTTCTAATGGGCCTCCCAATGTGGGAGCACATTCAGCTTGTGCTGAAGGCATTGCACTGGCTACTGATAGCATAATGAATTCGCTTCACGGTGCTGGTTCTTTCCTTTAAAGTCCTTTGCGATCAGGGACCTACATACCTGAGGGACCTCCTTTCCCCACATGTTCCTCAGAGAGCACTGCAATCAGGGTCCCAACATCGACTGACCCTTCCTGGACCAAAGGATGCCAGGCTGGTTAGTACCAGGGCTAGGGCTTTCTCAGTGGCGGCTCCTCTCTGGTGGAATGAGCTCCTGGAGGAGATCAGGGCCCTGCGAGACCTTATACAGTTTTGCCAGGCCTGCAAGATGGAGCTCTTCCACCAGGCTTTTAATTAGGAGCCGCCCCAAGGGAGAAACATGCTCCCTGAACAGCCTGTGCCAGCCGCACATTGTTAGATCTGGGTCGATCACAAGGATGGGATAATGAAGACCGACCACCATCTTAAATTTAACTTAAACGGTTAGCACCTTTTTAACACTGAAAATGTTTTATGGTTTAAGAACTATTTAAATGACTTACTGTTGTTTTTATTCTTTCTGTAAGCCGCCCAGAGCCGGCCGTGGCTGGGTAGGGCTGGGTATAAATTTAATAATAAATATAAATAAAAAAAGTCTCTTAGTAGCTTTTCCCACTGTGAAAAAAAATACAGAGGGCTAGATTCAATGGTATATTAATAGGAAAATGATTTTTGGAAGAATATTCATTTTAACTCTTGCAGACCTACCCATTCAGGATAAAGGCAGTGTTCTCCAAACTTTTGATTCCTATTTGATCCCCCCCCCCAAAAAAAGGTTATGATTATTAATCTTCAGTAAAGTTGCTGTATTTTGTTGAATCAAGACCTCAAAATATTTAACAGTTTGATTTTTCCTCAAACAGAGCTTAGAAATACTACTTGTATATCCTCCATTTTTACCAGACACAGAGATTACATGTCTAATTTTAAATACAGATTCCATTGATCTAGTTCAGGTAAGAGCAAGATCATCTGCATATAAACATAATTTAGAAGACAAAGAAGAGAAGAAGAGATTGGATTTATACCCCACCCTTCACTACCCAAAGGAGTAGTGTCTTACAAGTGTCTTACAGTCTCCTTTCCCTTTCCCTCCCCACTTGTTTTCCAAAAGAGACACCATGTATTTTTTATTATTTCTAATTGCCATTGCCAGAAATTCTGTTGTTAAAAGAATTGGAGATAATGGACATTCCTGTAATTTATTTGAAATTCCTCCATTTAATGACTAGTCATAGATAAATGAGATCCATCTGTTGAAATCACCCCTAAGATAAAAAAACTTCCAAGACGTCAAAATTTTAAAACAAGCCAAGATATCCCAACAAAACAGGACCAGCCTTTTACATAAAAACAACACAAAATAAAACCAAAGAAAATGATCTTGAAAAGACCCAGAAGGAAAATAAAGTCTCCATTGCCTTCCTTCACTACAACCCACCAGGCAACAACAAAAACCACTGGGAAATATGAAATAATAATTTAAATAATATTTATTTTAAAGCAAGGACAAACCACTACTGGCACCAAACAATAAGAGGATCTTCCCAGCAAGGCAGGAAGTGGGCAGCAAAAGTAATCCAAGGCACAGACAGATCAGAGCAGCCAGAGGCAAACCAGCACTCAAAAAAAATATTGCCTTATGGAGTCATGCTACAGTCAGGCCTACTTTTTATCCCATGGTCAGAAAGATATGAAAGAATCATCATGATTGGGCAGACAGAACTTCCCCTAACATGTGATCCCATTTTCACGAGAGTCCTGCCTCCTTCTTCCTTCCCTCCAGTTATCCAAGAAACCTGTTAATGGGGATGGGGGACGGGACTGGCCTGGGATCCTTAAAATGCTGGCCCCAGATATTCCCAAGAATCCTGAATATTGACCCAGATACCTTATTAGTATTTGAGGGCTGTATGTTCAGACTGGACATATCCAAACACACATCCTTAGAGAGAATATAGTAAGCTATGATATAAAAGGCAGGAAACTGCTTTCATAGGCGTAGATCCCACGGAAGATTTCCTCAGGTTGAAGGGATTTTCATCCCAGGGCACAACTTTTTCTTTTCCCTCTTCCATCTGCAGCCCAAATTACCTCCCCAGAATGTGATCATGGGGGGCAGGGGACAACATGAAGGGAGAGGTGGAAGTCTACAGTGGAAGTGGGGGAATTGGCAAAAATGATCCCTTTCCACCTACAAAAATCTTCTGTGGGATCCGTGCTCACTGTATTGTTTTTGTGCTTTCTTTGAGCTTTCAACCTTCTTTTTTTCTTTTCTTTTACCTCTCCAGGTGTTTTAATAGCTTGTTACTTGATTTTTGCAACAAGAATGACTGCAGATCAAGCAATTGTTTATGTTAGGACAAAGAGGCCTAACTCAGTTCAAACTAGAGGGCAGCTGTTGTGCGTAAGGGAGTTCTCGCAGTTCTTAATTCCATTAAGGAATGTTTTTGCTTCTTGTGAGCCTAAAGCCCACACAGTTACTCTTTCTCAGTACCTGATCCGACAGCGACATTTGCTTCATGGTTATGAAAGCAGACATCTCAAGTATGTGCCAAAACTTGTTCATTTGGTTTGCAAACTGTTGTTGGATTTGGCTGAAAACCGGCAAATGATAGAAGAGGAAGTAGTAGATATACCAGATCTGTCAGCTGAAATAGAAGAGACTGTTTCCCTGTTAGATAACACGGATCTTGATGAAGAGCTAACAAGGCAAGACAGTAGCACCTCAGAGCCATTTTCCCCCTCAGGATCAGCTGCTCTTCAGTTAGGCGGTCGTGAATGTGATCTTCTTTGGAGGCGAAGGAACGTGGAATACCTTCAGCCTCTGCGTCATGCAAAAAGGCGCATGAGCTACAGTGAATCAGATTTAAGGAGAGCTGTATATGTCTCTGAGCAGGGAGAGACACCGTGGTCAGTGCCTGTGCAAGTGTCACTCTGCAACAAACTAAACCAAAAGAACAATGAGGACGATTTACTAACTCTCCGGTCTGAGATAAACAAAGAACTGTTAGTTCGAAGTACATTTATTTTCTGGAGTCAGGGTAAATTTAATTTAGATGGGAAAGGACGTAGTTCTCCACTTTGCTATAGAAAGAGACATTCTAGAGGAGTACATCGCAGTCAAACATTTTCTTCAGGCCTTAGATGTGATCAGGAGGAAGACGATGAGGAAGACGATGAAGAGCTAAAAGCGTTGAACTACCACTGTCGCAGAAAATCTAGTATGTACGGTAGGAGAACATGGTCCTCTGAGGACTCAGACTCTTCCAAAGCAGAGCGTGACAGCCGTGACTTTAGAGAACTCTGTGAATCGATCCCCCATATTGTTGTGCAGTCAGAACTAACCCTGGAGGCTCGAAGAATTTTAGCGGCTAAAGCCCTTGCAGATCTAAATGAATTTATGGGAGCAGAAGAAGTGAAGAGCAAGGTGGAAAAGTGGCAGGTATTTTCATATTGTAACTCTGCTATTGTATTTGTCTCTTATAAGGGCAGATTCTTGGAAAAGGCCTCTAGCCAGAAGAAATTCGATGGCATCATTGCTTTCAGTGTGTGCAAGGTATTCTCTATGCTAAGGAGGCTGCTATTCTGTGTTATTATAAAACAGGTGAATGTGTAAGGAGAAGGCACAGCCCGCTTCTCCCTAACCTTTCATTATGCCCTACTTTGTGACCTCCAGAGATAACAGTCTACAGGCTACCTCATTGTTCTTGTGTAATTTGGGAATTAAATGCAGGGATTTTGCATCAATCTAATGTGGGAAGAAGTCCTATAGTCTAGATTGAAGTCTGTGCCCCCTGAAAATACATTAGTGCTGCACTTCTGAGTTTAGCTGCAGAAAAATGAATGTTTAATTAAAATTGTACATACTGTCCTGCACAGATTCTCATGTTGCTTAAAGAGACTGAGAAGAGTATTTTCCTGGCCAACGTAGGCCGCAGATCTGCTTGCTAGGGGCAGCAGCACCATTTCAGTTGGTAGGCTTGATTCCTGCTTCCCTCCCCTGCAGTTCATGGGCCAAGGACCCTAGCCAGCTGCAAGTCATTTTTTTTGCATCTGTTTGTGAGCACAAACTGCAAACCCACAAGGAGCAGCATAAGAATGTTCTGGGTAGAAGAGATGTACATTGTCTCATCTTCTTTCAGTAAGAAACTAGATAGTATAAGCATACTCTAAAACAAAATGAATATGCAGAACTAGAAGATTCCAAATAATGACCTGCTTTCCTATTCATGTTCTCCAGTCCAGTCTAAGAGCTAATGATCCCCTACTCTTTGTTGGACTCATAACACTAATGTGAAGGTGGAGCAGTTGCCATGCAGAATCACCATAAGGAGATACTTCACCCTACCCTCACGGGCTCTCTTCCCACTTGCAATATCCACGGCTGCCTGTGCCTGGGGAAGGTGGCAAAGTTAGGCATTCACCAGGAACTGAATTCTAGCCAATAGCCCAGCACCCCAACAGCATTGCTACTTTGCATAGAGTGCAGAAGGTCATAGAGAGTGTAGAAGAATTCTTTGTTTTGTATGCTCTATCTCTTTCAGGTTAAGGCACCTGACCTGAGGGCCCCCCCAAATCCTGGAATTGGTACTACAAATGCTCCCCCAACTCAGGCATCATTTAACACATTTGTCCCCCAAGTCTAGAAATCAGCCTAGTCAGAGGAGGGGAGGAAAGGCCTAGACGGAATTTGTAGGAAATATTCAGCAGATTCATTAATCTAACCAACACATATCTCCCACCCCTATGTTTGCTTGATCTGGGAAAGTATGGATTTGAGAATATATGTTGTTTGAGGTAATGTATACTTCTGCCCTAATACTATTAAAGCAAAGTTTTCTAATTTAAAGGCAGTTTACTTGGATTTTTACATTTCTTAGAAAGAATTAAATTCTCAGAATGGAGCCTGGGAGAGGATATGTGCTGAGAGAGACCCTTTTATCCTCAGTGGTCTGATGTGGTCTTGGATAGAGCAACTAAAAGAACCTGTCTTAACTAATGATGATATTGACTTACTCGCAAAAAATTGCATAGACTCTCAAGAAGGACTTAAATTGCTAGAAAAGGTAAGTACTTTCCTTGGCCTTGGAATTTTCCCTTCTGTATATGAAGAACTGTGTGTTTTGCTCATCCGTAAAGAGGATTACATTTGGGTAATGTAAAAGTTCTTTATGCATGGTAAGATACTAATTTCCAATATATGCAACTTTACGTATGAACTGGATCTATACGTATTCTCTCCTTCAGTCAAAAAAAAAAACATAAGGGGCCAGATTGGCTGTATGTTACATTAATCCTGAGGTACACGTGTACTGCAGTAGCCAGCTGCCACATGACTATAATGGCACTAGTCTATTCCCTAAGGGCATAATTTATGCAACAGCCAGCAGACAAAGTTGGTGCATTTGCAGTGTTTTCTGTTCATAACCTGGGTAGTGTTCATAGCAACCATGCCACAGCGGTTAGTGGCAGTCTTGTGTGGAAGCAGTGGCACGATGATGGACAGGGCCACCAGAACCAATCAGGTGCCATGTGTCAAAGGGGTGGAGTCCATCTCAGGTGGGACAGAGAGGGACAGGCCACAGGAGTTCTGCTCATTTTCAGGAGCACCCTCCTTAAAGGGACCAACTCCTATGAGCAGATCCAGGCACCTGAACTTTGCTCTCCTCCTTGGGTGTTAGCACCAAGTGCCCTGTAGCGCAAAGTGCCCTCTCTCTCTGTTTTTCCAACCACCAAAGTGCCTCACTGCTTGCTCTAAGTCTGCATGGCAGGGAGCTCCGAGACAGAGTAAGATGTCCTGGCTGAAATGTATGTAGGGTGGGGGGAACGCAATTGGGTGCTGGGAGGGGGCTTGGCCGTCATGGGGAGGGTGGTGATTGGCCAAGCCTCTAGTTGGCATCCTGAGCTCCTCCAAGTCTAATTGGCGAGGCTGCAGCAGCGGGGGGACAACCTGAGTTTTCAGTTCCATTGGCACGTATGGGCTAGGCCATGTTTTTTGTTGCTGTAACTTTCCATCTCAAGCAGGGGGCGTCCCCAGGCTGAAAGGGCTCAGGGAGCTAACCAACTCTGACCACACCCCCAAAACCATCCATAGCCATGCCGATGCAGGGGACTACGCCTTGGTTATGCCAGTAGGCGGCCACCATGGCCCTCCACCAGCACTGAAGAGCGATGGAGCGACGCAGGGGGCCTGTGTCATTGTACCTGGCCTTTATGCTGACATATCGTGGGCATATGCTGATGCAAGGGTCAGTTGGCTCCCTGAGTGCTTTCAGCCCCTTAGGATTGCTCTGTAAATGTACAACGCCAGGCCTTAGCAGACAAACCACCATACTTATGGTATGTTGGCACTGAACAAATATGTGAATAAACCCTGTGTCTCACAGTCGGTGGATCTGTCTCTAAGTGATCACATATCTTGTTCCACTCTTTGGTATTCTGATTCCCCTCCCAAAAAACACCATTATGTTCCTTCAGAAGAAGTTTTGGCACCCCTTTTTCCCTGTTTTTCTAATTCAGAGTGGATTTAAGTTGTGTGTGAGTTGTATAATCTCTTCTGCCATGACTGTTACAGTCTGAGCCCATTCACTTTCTCTTTTTTACTAATCCTCACTTTCCGCTCTCTTAACATATAATAGCTAGCTTGGTAAAAGGATGCTGTTATATGTTTTTAAATGTATTTTACCATGTTCTCTTTATAATGTTTGTATACCTGATTTCATTGGTCTTAAAGCACATTCAGATCTGTTGGATGTGTTTGGCATAGTGTTCTTGAAAGCACTGTTTACTGTATGTGCTGCCTTTTTTGTCTCATCAGGGAAAATATCATACTGTGTTATGTATTTTAAAATGTGTGGTGAATTTACGGGCAATACCAACAGATTTGGAAGAACTTCTTCTTGATCGTGCCATCAAAGCATTCACAAAGGCAAGTAGCATGTGACATTGTGATCTCTCCTATTACTAAGGAATTGACCACTGAAGATTAGCCAGTGCATTAACCATAATAATCCTGATGCTTCTGAGGTCCTCTCAGTGCCCACAGTGTCTTAGTTTCTTTTGGAATCTTCTCTGACTATCTCAGGCAACAGGCAAGGGACGTGATGGGGGCTTCCGTTTGCCTTATTAGGAGTAAGGTTTTTATGACCTTGGGTATATGGAGGCCAACCACATGGTGCAACATGACTGCTGGCTCTGCCAGTATGATACACGTAATGGGAGGCTGTTATGTCTCTGCTGGGGTCTAATCCACCCGGGTGCTTTAAGGCATGTGTAGATAGATGTTGCTTTTTTGTCTTTCATTTACTAAAATACTCTTGGTTCACAGGCAGTGGTAAATTTTAGAACATACTCAAATAATAATTTAAACTAAACAGTCTGAACTCTGGTAAGGTATGCATCTGCTGTAATATGTCCCACATTTTAAATTAGACAGTGTGATATTTTGAGAACTCCTAGGTTTATTTAGTGTTATAATTTTAATAAGGTGACTTTAAGTTTGCTTCCTGCAGATGAATTCTGATTCTGAGGGTGGCCCGTATGTTTACAACACTCTAAGGAACGTTTTCAAACAGATACTGGAACACCAAAGACAAAATTGCACAGAAGGAACAGGAAAGCCTGTCTGATGTTTACTCTTCTAAGCTGTAGTTCTCTGCAGCCCTCCAAAACGACCTTTCATTGCCAGCTATTATAATTTGTATTGTTTTGTTTATGTTAACTAAATCTAAGTTGATGTTGATTTTTAAATAACTGCAATACACACACACACACACACACATACACCACTTTGTGTTTGTACTGTAGTATTTTAATGCTTTATTGTAAAAGTAGCATTTTGTTGATATAGGGTTTTCATTAATAAGCTATTTTTTCAAGACAAACTGTTGCCATAAATTCAGTGCCATGTTATACAATGGTTTATTTAGTTGATGTTTGTGTATTAACATTTTAAGTATACATTATGATGTTTACAACAGTACTATTATACTTTACCTTGTGATGAGTAAAGATTTATTTATATTGACAACTGTTGTACAACTGTATGGATTTTCCTTGGGAACTGAAAAAAAACTGATTGTAGTGGCAAAACAGATGTCTAGGGGCGAAAATAAACATAACTTAGAAGTGCAGAAATGGGCAATCCAAAGACCATAGATCCTTGTTAGGAAACTGAAAATATTTTTAATATTATAAGAATTTATTACTCTCCCTTTTGTTGGAAAATGAAACATGAGACCTGTATTATATTGTCTCAGAAACTAAAATTTAAATAAACAGAAACATTTAATGTTTTCAGGTCTTCTTGTTTCCTGTTTGGATTATTTGGAAGGTTGTGCTTATTTGAAGATACATGCTAACCAGTATCTTGTTCAGCTGCTTTTTAGCTGGTAAGCCTACGGACATGGTTTATTTTTAATTTCAGTACAACATCTAACAATTTTAGGTGCTATTACTGAATAAAGCAATTGCAGTCCTTTGCCTCATCTAAGGTAGCTTTTAATGCCAAACATACTGTGTCTGTATTTAATATACTTTCTTTTTTGAGGCATAGCTGATATAAGGGCCCTTGTCACTGATACCGTGATAATTTCCTTGGCCTCACATTCTTACAGGAGGTTTTAGCTTCTGTCATTATGCAGTCACGTCTGAGACAATTGGTAGGGCTTCAGATATAAGAAGGCTTGAGATAGTTTTTGGCACTGAAGGCACTAGGACTTCTGTTCCTGAAATTATACTCTGTCTCTGCTCCAGTCCCCCCCCCCCCGATCCACCTCTATCACTATAGTTCCTCTGCCTCATAGACAGTGTTTATTTATTTAAAAGATTTATGTCCCACCTTTCAACACAATCAGGGCTACCAGCTAAAAATAGAGCCATGGCCAAAAAGGCCCTGTCTCTGGTTGCCAGCTGCCTAAAACCTCAGAAGGTAGGAGCTCCTGCAGTAGGGCCTCAGAAGATGACCATAATGGTTGGTTAGATTTGTATGGGAGTAGGCAGTACTTATGCTGGCTTCAGACTATAGAGCTGTATATGCACAGATAGACATGCAAGTCCCTGGTTAAGTAGATATGAATTATCTTTTAGAAACAAACGCAAAGTGAAAAGACTTTTTAAAAATGATCTGGAGGAGGAGAGGATTGAGTAGTAGACTGTAGGGCTTTTCCAAGGCATAAATCCCTGCTTGGGATGCCATGATTGTGGGGCTGGCACTTCTGCCCTGTGGCCCCATCTTCCTCGGCTGTCCCCTTGGCATTTTCCTGCCTGCCATCCTGCCTTCAGCTGTAATCAGATATCCTCAGAAGTACGTCTGGAAGATCTGAGTGTGCCTGCTTATGGCCAGTGAGAAGGAAGGCAGGGGCTGGAACCAAGAGAAGCTCTTCGGTGGAGACTAGAGATGAAGGCTTTGGATTGAAAAAACCCTTTGACTCCTTTTCCCCAGGAGCCCTGTTGTTCCCTCCTCCTCCTTAGCAATAGATCATCCCTCTGAGGCTGTTACTGTTTGTGAAATTGTGTGGGAGGGAAGGCTGATGCCCCTCCTCCTCCAGCACTGTACTCTGGAGACAAATTGGGCCTCAATGCACTTGGGGGACATTAGTTTCCCTAACGTGAGGTTTGACTGTAAAATTATCAAAGTCAGGTTTGGGAACTCGAGCCAGTGGGGTGTACGTCACCTCAGCATTAATGTCAATAGTCCTATTCATTAAGTATCTCTGATGTTCATCTTGTTATGTACAGTATACATCTATTACAGCAGTTCTAACTCTGCAAGGTTTTTTTAGATCTCTCAGTGCACCATAAAACCCTGAAAAATAAGGCTGTATAGAGCTCATGGTGTGGATCATAATGTGTCTTACTTTTTTATCATGTTACTACACCAACTCTCAAAAGTGACTCACAATTCAAATATTAAAACAAACTCTGTACTCTGTTGGTTGCATTTAGTTTGCTTTCAGCCAGCCTAAACACTAACCCATGCTTTTGTAACTTCATGGTTATATTACAGTAATTTGCTGTATGGTGGGCTGGGTTGAAGACAACCCAGAAACTCTAAATGGTTCTGAACCATATATCCTAATAGCAAAGTGTTGGTCCATCTGTAGATACTTTCCCACAGATTGGGGACTCACGCTGTTAGAAAATAGGTAATTCTGCAAACTTTGCTTCCCATATATACCCATTCACCAACTATATAATAGGCTTCCATGTACCGGCTGTTCCCCTGCTTAAGGTAGCTCACCTCGCATAACTGACAGCAGAGGTCCCCGTTGCAGGCCTGTAGCTACGATGGGGCATTTTGGGGCTCCAACTCTTAATTAAAAGCCTCGCCCCACAAATAGCCATGCCAAAAACTTTATTTTTGAGGAAAGACAACCCCCCCGCCCCCGGCTGCCTGCAAATTTAATTTGCATGTTTCTCAAAGGCTCATGGGGATGCTTTGGAAAGACTCACCATGACCTAGGTGGTATAAAGCAGGACTGAGCTAGCAGAAAGGGGAATTACTGGAGAAGTGCTAAAGGCACCACTCTTGAGGACCCTTCTAAGGTTTCTTACCCTATGGAAGGGAAAAGGCATTAAAATGCCCTCTGAACTGTTTTTCCCTAGGAACTGACAGGCATTCAGATTAATTTAATTATCTTTAATTTAACTGCCCCCCTTAAAAATTTAAATGCCCCCCTGAACAAAAATTCCTGGCTATAGGCGTGCCCTATCGTGGTGCCCATAGGCACCATGGTGCTCACTGACATCTTACCTGGTACACACCTGGTGTATTTTCAGAAACTGGGTGGAGCCAGATAGGACTCTTGCCTAGCATGACTTCTGATTGGCCACTGGAGATCTGATTAGCTGTGCTGATTAAAATAACATTGATTTCATAGCAGTTGCCACCATAGTGCTGGTTTTATTTCCCCTCTCCTCTGCTTCACAATGTATTTTTAAAATTACCCCTCTTCTCCGCTACACTTGAACTTCTCTCTCTGGCTTTCTCTCTCTCTTGCTCTTTCTCTCTCTCTGGCTCTCTCTCTGGCTCTCTCTCTGGCTCTGCCTCCTACAGAAGCCATTTTGTGGATGCTCCCACCACCCTGGTTCAGAATTCCAAAGGCACCTTACAGACTCAAAAAGGACACCTGGCCCAGAGCCTGTGCCCTTTCTCTTGTAGCTCTCACATGGTTAAATGGCCTCTCTGAGGAGGTGGAGGTGGACTGTCTCTAGCAAATTTTAGTGTCTGAAAAATATTAGACCATCCCGACGCCATGAGAGTACACTGTAGCGATCAGACATGGGAAAGTCTGTCCGTGGCCAGTCACAACCCATTTACTACCACATAGTAAAGCAAGGCTATTGCCTCCGGAGGAATTTGGCCCACAGTTGCGCGATCATGCAGTCCTTGGAAGCGTGATCAGACACAACTGCAGGTGAGTCAGGGGTTTTTCTTTTGCTGTTTGTTTCCGATGTGCTTAAATGAGGAATCGATGAATCACATTTCCACACTGAGAGCTCCCTATGGAGTTTGTGATGATGCACATACTGAGAAGGGGGAAAAAACAATGGCACAGAGTCGGGATGGCCTGATCAGACCATCCTGACGCCATGAGAGTGCCCTGTAGTAATCAGACATGGGAAAGTCCGTCCGTGGCCAGTCGCAACCCGTCTACTACCAGATTTTCCCCGGTGTCTTTTTATTCCCTTCTGCAGCGGAGCGAAACGGGTTGCCGATGGGTGTGGGGCGCTTCCCAGATGTCCGTGTCTGATTGCACCTTTTAAATCCGCCCAGCATTCGTGCCTATGGTGGAGCTAATTGTGCGTGTGATCGCGCCCATAGATAACCTTTTAAAGCACCCTTGTAAATAGTTTCGTCAAATTCAGGATCGATACTTCTGTTTCTCTTTAATGAAGGAATGGTTTTGATTGTAAACCAAAATAGTGATGTGCTTTCCCTTCTCTTATTTGTAAATCGTTATTTATTTATTTATTTATTTATTTGTTAAATTTATATCCCGCCCTCCCCCGTAGGGCTCAGGGCGGCTTACATGGCAAAAAAACTTGCACATAAAAACATCAATACTATAATACATTTTAAGACCATAATATACAATTTAAAACCCAGTCAGACAATAAAGTGCTCAGACTTCACAGCATCCATACTAAGACGTCAGAGAGGGCACCACATACCAAACATCCCTTGGTAGGCATGGTGTGAAGATGTTGATCAGATATTCAGATGTTCCCCTAGTCTCCTAGGGCCCTCCCCCCCACATTGATGGTATACAGCAGGGGGGGCAGCGGCGGCGGCCCCTAATCGAAAGCCTGGTGGAAGAGCTCCGTCTTACAGGCCCTGCGGAATTGCACCAAATCCCGCAGGGCCCGGATCTCCTCCGGGAGCTCATTCCACCAGGCAGGGGCCGCCACCGAGAAAGCCCTAGCCCTCGTGACGACCAGCTTAGCCTCCTTGGGGCCCGGTATAGTTAGAAGGTTTTGGGCCCCCGACCGTAGCGCTCTTGGGGGAACATACGGGGAAAGGCGGTCCCTCAGGTAGGCTGGACCCAGACCATATAGGGCTTTATAGGTAAGAACCAGCATATTCTGTGATAATTATATTGGACACACACAGCCTCACCGGTGACTCTTCCCACACCTCTTAGGCTTTCTTTGGAGCCTCTTAAAAATAATTCTGTCAGAGCACCTTCCTTTTGACATTTGTACACCCCCACAGATTTCCCCCCCATTGTGCTCAGCGTCAGCAACAATCTTTGCCCTTGCTGACAAATCCCACATTGA